AAACGCCCAAGTGACCTTTTAAATACACATTGACAAGTTGTGGCTTTATGGCGCTTTAGTCACGGGCTGAAGTTAGCAATATGTTTTTAGTCACGGGCTGAAGTTAGTTTTAAGTTAGTTAATACTAAATGTGAAAATTATTTTATTATCTCAATACAAAAATACAAAAGTATTAAATATTTTCTCAACGCCAATATTTGAAAAGTTTATATGAACATTGTACTGACCTTTTAATTTCGCCGGCAGTAAACTATAATTTATATATACATATATATATATATATATATATATATACATATATATATATATATATATATATACATAGAACATTTTCTTTACTTTCACTGTAAAAAACTGTCCATTTTCAAGAAATACATTTCGATTTATAACCTTTATAATCTGTTTATAAAATAAAAAAAATTGACATTTGACGGTTACACATAGATTCCCCTATTGTCTCATAGATGGCGCTCTATAAAAATATTTGATTTAAATCATTTTAAGATAATAATAAGTATTTGTCGTAGAAAAAGTATAGTATGCACCTCGTTTATAAACTTTTCTATACACTCATTAATTTAAGAATTCGTGTATAAAATGGCGTTTATCAAACTTGATACATAATATACTATTATGATATAAAGCAGTTGCATCTTCTTTGTGCCATAATTAAAAAAGTCTTGCATTTGACAATTGTTGCTAGCTGCAAAAGAGTTTGGCTTCAAATGAGTTCTTATATAATATGTATAATTATGTCTGAGTGGCAAGATGTAATGGAAAATTTCCATTATAAATGGATTTGCCAGGATAAACTGGTTGATATTAACTTCTTTTTCGAAAGTTATCGATTTGAGTTGAGTGTTTCGATCAAAAGCGGTTTTTTACAGGCAACATTATAAATCCTTTATAATTAATGATTAAAAAGACCTGCAGAAAGTTATTGTACGTTTAATTTTAAGTACTTTTGTAACGCGCTGATTAATGGTCCTATAAAAAACTTAACGCCATACCGATTCAAACTTAATCATGTTGAAAATATCACAAAAGACTTTAAAGTGCAATATCATAGTTTATAAGCCGATTAAAATCAATGGGTTTTATTTTATAGGATTTTTGAAATATCAAGCGAAATTTAATTTAATCTAAAACTAAATTGATTACATAAAGTGTCGGAAATTCCTTAATTTCCTATACGCAACGAGTAAGAGAGAGACTAATGCATGACAAATGTATTGTGATTGATTGTGTAATCGCTTTGCCCATTTTTCTCTTAATTGTTAGGTTTAGGAAATTACGAAATTTCCGACACTGTACATCTGAATGATTCACTAATAATTCATACTGTGCGTTCATAATCTACATACATATATGTAGATACTTAGATGGAACGCACAGTATAAAGTAATAAAATAAATTAAGAAATCATACATCTTGAATATTAGAGCTTCACGGAAGATAGCTTCACGGAGGTTAGGATTTCGAATGTTTTTTTTTAAACATCCCTTTGTATATTTGAAATAAGTTATTGTATCTTTTAACACCTTCATATTTTTTTAAAATACAATTTTGAATTATAAAACAGCAACACTCTCATCTGCATATAAATTCTAACTGACCTTCAGGAATCACATGCATCCATAATGTCGTAAACAGAAGTTTTTGCTTATTTAAAATTATTAAGGTGCCATCCGTTGCATAAAATTTAAAGCAAAAACAGATTCACGGAGGATAGAATCAATTTTTGTAACACCTACATAAATGGTTATAAAAATTATTTCCTTTAATTTTTAATAATATTTTATATTTGATTCGATTGCTTTGGATCAAGATGCAATTAAATTAGAATATTAAGGCCTAAAAAAGTATTAACACATGATATTTACAATAATAGTTATAGTTTAATTTACTTAAAGGGATTTTAATTAGGGTAAGTTGTAAGCGGGCTTGAACTAAGCAATCTGTAAAATAAGTTTTCTACTAAAGAGCAAACAAACGCCTAACTTCTGTTTCTAATGGTATTTGGTTAAATACCTTTTAGTTAAAGAGGGGATCCTTAAATATCTTAAAAAATAATTTAGGACACTTTTTAATATCGTAATCCTAAAGTATACAAAGATAAATTCGGAAATGTAGGGAAAAAACGTGTTAATAGGTTTATTTAAAAAAAATGGCGAATGCGCCAGATTAAATCGCCGGTATTAAACATTAATGTTGCATTCAACAAAACTCTAATATTAAAATATTTATAACCCGCGGTATTATCAAAGCTGACAGGTTTCAATAGGGTGGAAAACTTATATTCCATCGGGGTGTAGATTTTTATCTAAAATCCTGCAAATTGATCAAAGTCGAACGTTTAATAGGAAATTGATCTTTAATAAGCGATTTTTAACGTAATTTTATTATCTTAAATTAGTACCCAACTAGTTAAATTAACGTTAAATTTACGTTATTTTGTAATAAGTTGGGAATTCAATTATGTTAGTTAAATTAAATTTAACTTTTTGGTTAAAAAGAATGTAATATTTGGTAGTTTAGTCCATAATGCGTTTTGAGAAAAAAAGAAAATAATATTTTTCTTTATTTCGTTTGAAATTGATTTAAAATACTTTTAAAAATAAAATAATATTGTGTTTTATTATTTGTTTAGACAGCAAACAAAATGGCGATTTTAGGATGCTTTTACTTATTGGTTATATAACCAATATAAATTAACCTGCAAGTTTATTTAAACCATTTGATTATTTTTTCGTGTTTAATTTAACTACTTTATTTACCTATCGGTAAAATGTAACACAATATAGTTTATAAATACCAAAACTAGTTAATTTAAACTTCTTATTTTTAAAATAACTAACCTAAAAAAATTGCCGGCGATCTTACGTTCTGATTTTAATTGCATCCGTGCTTTATTTTTATAAAATGCACATAGACGCTTACCAAATTAATTAAATGACAGGGGACTGTTTTAAGATTTGTATATAAATAATGATTTTCAACTTTGGTAACTCTTCTCTAAGTAAGTTGAAGAAAGTCTATATTTATTAAAATTATTTCTTTTGAACTCTATAAAGCTGTATTGAGTTTAATTTTTCTATACAGGTAACAACGAAAACTGGAAAACCATCAACAAGTTTATTAATTAACGTTTATTTACCAGCGAGTTCAAATATATTTGGTAAAATATAACTTGTTGGTTAATATAACGTTATGTAACTTTTAAATTAACCTACTTTTTAACTTATAAGTAATATTACTATCTAGTTAAAAATTTGGTCTATTTAAAGTCAATTTAAAGTCTTGAAATAGGTAACCTTAATTTACCTATAATTAGTGGTTGGTAAATTTAAAACGTTATTTTACTTAAGATTTTGTTTAATTTACTTAGTATGCTTAGAATGCTAGTTATTTAACCAGTTGTGCTAGTTGGGTAGGTTTTTCAAAATAATTTTTATTCATTAAATTTAAACTTAATTTAACTACTTTATTTACCTATCGGTAATTTATAACTCTTTGGTTTTGGTTTAAATTCGGTTAATGTATAGTTCATAATTACCAAAACTAGATAAATTAAACTTATTTTTAAAATAACTAACCTAAAAAAATTGCCGGCGATCTTACGTTCTGATTTTAATTGCATCCCTGCTTTATTTTTATAAAATGCATATAGATGCTTACCAAATTAAAGTAATTAAATGACAGGGGACTGTTTTAAGATTTGTAGATAAATAATGATTAACAACTTTGGTAACTCTTCTATAGTAAGTTGATAAAAGTCTATATTTATTAAAATTATTTCTTTTGAGCTCTATAAAGCTGTATTGAGACTAATTTTTCTATGCAGGTAACAACGAAAACTGCAAAACTATCACCAGTTTATTAATTAACGTTTATTTACCAGCGAGTTCAAATATATTTGGTAAAATATAACTTGTTGGTTAATATAACGTTATGTAACTTTTAAAATAACCTAATTTTTAACTTATAAGTAATATTACTATCTAGTTAAATATTTGGTTTATTTAAAGTCAATTTAGAGTCTTGAAATAGGTAACCTCAATTTACCTATAATTAGTGGTTGGTAAATTTAAAAACGTTATTTTACTTAAGATTTTGGTTAATTTACTTAGTATGCTAGTTATTTAACCAGTTGTGCTAGTTGGGTAGGTTTTTCAAAAGAATTTTTACTCATTAAATTTAAACTTAATTTAACTACTCTATTTACCTATCGGTAAAACTCTTTGGTTTTGGTTTAAATTCGGTTAATGTATAGTTCATAATTACCAAAAGTAGATAAATTAAACTTCTTATTTTTAAAATTACTATCCTAAAAAAAATTGCCGGCGATCTTACGTTCTGATTTTAGTTGCATCCTTGCTTTATTTTTATAAAATGCATATAGATGCTTACCAAATTAATTAAATGACAGGGGACTGTTTTAAGATTTGTAGATAAATAATGATTAACAACTTTGGTAACTCTTCTATAGTAAGTTGATAAAAGTCTATATTTATTAAAATTATTTCTTTTGAGCTCTATAAAGCTGTATTGAGACTAATTTTTCTATGCAGGTAACAACGAAAACTGCAAAACCATCAACCAGTTTATTAATTAACGTTTATTTACCAGCGAGTTAAAATATATTTGGTAAAATATAACTTGTTGGTTAATATAACGTTATGTAACTTTTAAAATAACCTAATTTTTAACTTATAAGTAATATTACTATCTAGTTAAATATTTGGTTTATTTATCTGTAATTTCTGTATCGTTGTGCTAGTTGGGTAGGTTTTTCAAAAGAATTTTATTCATTAAATTTAAACTTCAAATGCCATAAAAACATTTTTACTTGAAGCCCTCTCGAGGTTTTATGCATAGTAAGCAGAAATCTTAGTGTTTTATAAATAAGGCGCATTTGATCCCCTCTATTTCTTCTTTTAGGAGTAAAAAGCATCATTTATTTTCATGTTATAAGGAAAGAATGCAGTATTATGTTTTACCTGGTTCATATAGGAGCGTACAAACTCCATGGATTGCTCTAGCGCGTAGGTATCGCTGCTGCAAGAGTCGATGACGAGCGCTCCAAGAGTGATGTTGGGCAAAAGTTCGGAATCGTTGTTAATTTCGTCGATGGCATAGAGCATCGCCTCGAGGCGCTGCATCCCTTTTTCCTCTTTGACGGCCCCGCACGGCGGGTCCGAGCGTCCGCTGACTTGCTCGTGCATCGGAAAAATTCCTCCGAGTATGACGTCTCCATTGATGCGTAACAGTTTGCGGTCCGGGTCCAAGTTCTCGCTCTTCACGCAAACCGTGATCACAAATATCAAAATAGTCTGCATGCCACAATTTTTTTTTCGGTTTGAGTCTAAGTTTTACGCACGATTAGTGCCATTTTGTTGGTGGTTTTTAATGTAGCAGGACGAGAGGTGAGTTTGCAAACTTTTGAAAAGTTTGTTTTGAGCGCTTTATGCAGCTAAAGCATGTTGCTTGGTATCAGTTGAAAGCGGTGCCGGACTGAAAACTCCGGCTGTGCTGGAATACATATATAAGGCTAGCCGAAGCCTGCGTAGAGCGATGGAGCGTCGTCATAGAGATGGAGCTGCTATCGGGAGTTCGAGAACAAGCGGCGACTGCTGGGCTGCTGCCGCCGAATCCAAACCCAGGATGCTCCAACCTCCTCCACAGGCCACTATTACCAAATCCTTCTTACCGTGCCTTTATTTGCATAAATCAAACTTCCTCACACCAATAAAAGACAATTTTATTTAAACTTAACTCGCAACTTTCAAACGACAAATTCAATTTTCCTCGACAAAAACTTTCTAATCTTTCCACTCGCGACGGGATTTTCAATTCCCAATTTCAACACTTCACTATAGTGTCCGTCAAAGATAAATCACATGTGAAACTTTAAGTAATATAAACGGAAATGATCAAAAAGCGCAATTTTTTTCGGCATTACCAATCCGTTTTGTGTTCGTCGTACACTGTTCAAAATTTCATGACCATTTTAACACCAAATTAACACCATACATGGTCTATAGATATATATATCGATACAAACCAAAATGGTGTTAAATGTGGTTCGTTGGTCCGGTGTAAATTTAAATAGTAAAATAGTGTAAATTTTTCTTTCACACAGTATTAAAATAAATTTTACCAGGTGTAAATTGAACTCCTTTTCAGTGTTAAATATTATGTGTTTTTGGTCAAATTAAATCATACTACACAGAAAAAAAGGAAAAAAAAGAAAGTTCCTTGACGCATTACTAGTATATTACCAGTGGTATTATTCCAGAAAATTCGCTAAAGATTTTAGTGCATTCCACCAACTTAAAATACTTCAAGTATTGACAGCTGTTTCCACCTATTTAAGGTCTCTTTAGTATCGAACAACTTGTAGTGTCACAACAAAGCAAAGGGCTACCTGAGCTTATAAACTCTTCATGTAAGTCAACAGAGGCGAGATTTAAGAACATCACACTGAGGGAAAAATCTAATACCTGTTATGAAAAATATAATACTCCTTATAAGATTTCTCTATTAGTATTAGGACAGCCAACTAGTTCATATACAGTATAAACTCGGTTTTGTTTAAACATCTTGTAACAGTTATTAGACTTACTATTATCTCTTATAAAATCGATATGCTGCCACCATAAAATGATGTTGTAGTGGATATAATCAAAATCTTAAATACTATAAACCCGCTTTATATCGAGTATTAAAAGTTTTTTAGCCAGTATAACTTCAGATTGCTATGTGTATTTGAAAATTCTTATTAATTTTATGTAGTAGCTAATACTTTTTACAAACTCTGTTTATTCTCTTTATTAGCAATTTAGTTACTTTAATAAAATATGTCTTATATAGGAAATCATGCATTTTTCATAAGAATTATTATACTTACTTGCTGACAGGATAAGGGTCGTTATATAAAAAGTTTAACTCCTATAAATTTTACACTTTTATTATAAAAACATGTACAAGAAATAAATAAAACATAAATAAACTTAATTAGGTATATAATAGTACAGAAGTAAATCAAAATTTTGCATGTCGAAACTTACAAAGAATGCCAAGGGAGAAAATAAAACAAGCGTAAAAATATTCCTACTTACAGAAACCCCACAGCGTGTCACTGCAATTTTTTAAAATTATTATTTGGAAAATGTATTCTTTTAATATTTAGTAAAATCGTTTGTTTTTGTTTTGGGGGTTATTTTTTAATAATTTTAATCATGACTTTTTATTATCATGATTTAAATTGTACATTTTAATCAACTAATTAAATTAAAATCTCAACCTTATAAATGTATGTTATGTACGTGCCATATAATACATTCTTGGGGAATGTAGGTATTAGATATATGTAGGTGAGTACAGGATGAACGAAGTAAGGGGACCCATATACTTATCTAGAAACTACTGCCCCAAGAAATGTGTAGAAAACAAAAATTTATGTAGGTAGTATATTTTTAATACTATATTAACATTGTTATTATATATTAATATAAATAAATAAACAATTTTAAACCAAATGTTCCCATGTCCACACTTCTTAATAATGTTGCTCTTGATTGGTTAATTTTTACAAATGTTATTTTTTGTGACTCCAGTAGTTTCTAAGATATCTAAGTATATCCGTAAACCACGTAAGGTGACCCATTTAATATATTATACTTATAAGTATATGGGTCACCTTACGTAGTTTACCCTGTACATTTAAGTATATTATATAATAAAAAATTAATATGTTGTATGATGTTTTCCATTTTCTTAAGCAGTAGTATTATGATATTTTTATTATAATATCATATATGAAATGAAATGACTTACACTTCTCTGCAGTTAATTACTTGATTGTTTACAAAATTCGTCCAACTATATTTTAATTTAAATATTTATATTGTTTATGCGGCATAAATTATGCCTAATATGTTTTATGTATAATGTTTAGTTTTATATATAATGTGTATAATTGTATTATTTGACGTGTAAGTAATATTTATTTCATATAACCTAACAATATTAAGTTTATTCAAATCATGTATTTCAGTGAACTACTGATGATGCCAAAACAGGCGAAACTAGTATAGTTTTGAAAATAAAAATAAAATTAACTGCAGAGAAGTGTAAGTCATTTCATTTCATAATAAAAAAAAATTAATAAATTATTATAATGGGAATCAATAAAACAGTTTTTGTGTAACTGCACCTGCGTCCACGTGCTCAGCTCGTTGTGCTGTTCCAAGATCAAGGCATACACCTTTATTAAACTAAGGCTTATCCTCCTATCATGATGTATAATTATTACAAAAACTTACCCTTAACAATTGCCAGCTATTATCACAACAAATAAACAAAACACTACAGCCACAGACACTTATTCCTCGCGGTCAAAACAATGCACCAAGCGCATATGCGTAATAGCTTGTACTATAGAGTATAAAGACTACTATTAAACAGTATAAGACATATTATAGTTCTTATAAAAAAAATTATAACTTAAAATAAATGATATCTGAAAGAAAACATTTCATAAACAATATGCATTTAGATTATAGCGAGTATTAAACAACTGGAATAAAATCAAAATTATAACAGTTACTACACAGCTTATTGACTTCATAAACGAATATGATTCTAACTAAGAATCCTCTTATTTTCTTTATGAAACTCGTCTTAACAATACTGTTTTATAGAAACATTTCTTTCAGTGCACGTGATCCACACCGCCTTTGCCGCGATCGGTACATACTATGCAACCAGAGTGCTTTAGGTTGAAGTAACACTTATTTTACAAACAACATATTTAGTAAACTGAACCATACAGCGGGTTGGTTTCACACACATAGTTTTCTGGGTTAATTTAACCAATTTAAAAAAAATAAAATAACTATCTGGTTTAGTACCGTCAAACTAATCTTTGTTTATATTAACCTTCCCACAGTTGATTTAAATAAATACTTATGGGTCAACTAAATTAATATAGTTAAATGAACTATTCCTTTTTTTCTGCGTATGTGCACTTTTCAAATATTTTTAGATAAACACCGTTTTGGTGTTTGCTGTATATAACATTTTCAATCATTATTCATGGTGTTTAATTAACACCACTTGGTGTTGGATTTTGACACCATTTTAAGATTACTTTTTACACCACAGATATTTTAAACAGTGTAGTATTCAACTCGTTTTATAAACTTCGAAGCTCGTTTTTATTAAACCATCACTCGCAAGCTTTTGGGCATGTTAGTCACGATTGTTTGACATTTGACAACTGTCCTTCAAACTAATTTCAACCTGTGACTAAAGCGCCATAAACCCACAACTTGTCAATGTGTATTTAAAAGGCCCCTTATTGTCAAGAAAACATGACCGATAATGGGCATTTAAAGGTAGGAGTGGAAAAATAAATTATATTTGCTTACTTAGGGCGATCACGTTTCAGGATCAAAGAAAGAAATATAGTTAATTGTGCCAAAACTATATTAAGACGTGACCGGTTTCTAACCCAATTCACCAACGCAATAATTTATGTTTTTAAATTATATTATTTTTATTTTATTTATATTTTTGTTTAAACACAGCTTTCTTTAACAGTTTCTGTAGTTGTGGCGCTTTTCTCACTTCAGATCAAATGCAGGAAATAACAGGAATAAGTGTCAAGTTTCAAGCAACTGTCAAAATCGGTTCAATTAACAATTAAATGAATTAACAAACTCAAAATCAAAGGCGTTAAAATTCAACTTGACAATCAAGTGGCAAATTCCAAAGTGAAAGCAGGGCCGGATTCAGATTGCAAAGTGATGTTTTTACTGTTTTATTATCCAAAACTTTTGCAAATAAAAAGTTAAAATTTATTTTTTCGTATTAAAATTCCAACCTGTATTTTCTACCGCTCCAATTTACGCCACGCACTCGAGAGCACGGTGGAGCAAGAGGCCAAAAAGTGGCCAAAATTCATTAAAAACAAAACTAATAAAGATTTCAATATGAAATTTTAACAACATATTACTGTGGTATTAATCTTGATCATTTACAAATTTTAGTTCAATTGATTCAGTGGTGGGGATTTCATAAGGGTTTAAATATAAACCTTAATCAAAAATTAAATTATTTTGTTAACTCATTAAACGCATCTTTATAAAAGTTTCATGTGTTAATTACGTTAATTTTGGCAAAAATATACTGGTTGAACCTACAGGTATAGCACAAACAACACGTAATTGATTAGATTTAATACCCTGGGATCTTAGATAGTAAGAATCAATTAGAATCATTGGGTATTAAATATAATCAATTTGAGAATGACAAACACGATTTTTTTTCCTACAAATCTGAAATTTGCAATTGTGACTTTTTCGTTTAACTAAAACGTTTTATCAGTTTTAATTTTTTCTCTACCTAATGGCTATTTTTGAAAATATATAATAGTATATTATGTATCAAGTTTGATAAACGCCATTTTATACACGAATTTAATTAATGAGTGTATAGAAAAGTTTATAAACGAGGTGCAT